GGTGCAAGAAGAAATGTGGTTGGATGCTACGGGGTACCAAATCAAGTGAGCACTCGCGTGGCTTTACCTTAGTCACGTACAAAGGCCCGCACTGGGAGAACTGTGTCATTGAAGTACTATCTACTGATCACCCACACTTGGATTCGTCCATAATATCAGAGTCTGTGAAGTCCTTTGTGTAGAATGATCCGTCCTTGAAAGTTGAATTCATACAGGAACTCATCTCCAAGCAATTTCGTTTTAAAGTTCCGTATCGAAGAGCATGGTATGCCAAGGAGAAAGCTATAGCTGAAATATTTGGGGATTGGGAGAGTTCTTGCGGCAGACTTCCGCACTTCATGCAAGCACTGCAACAGTCAAACCCAAGAACCGTTGTCGTATGGAAACACAAAGCTCTGGTGGATGGTGTATACTACAGCAACATGGAAGTCTTTGAACGAGTGTTTTGGGCCTTCGGTCCTTGTATCGACGGTTTTAAACGTTGTATGCCTGTTATCTGTATCAATGGGATGCACTTGTACGAGAAGTATAAAGGAACATTGTTGGTTGCTACAAGTGTGGATGCAAGCTTCCAAGTATTTCCGCTAGCATTTGCGTTGGTTGAAGGGGAAAACACTTCCAGCTGGTCTTGGTTTCTGGGCTACATTTGGGTTCATGTCACGCAACGAGATGGCCTCTGTATTATATCTAATCGACATCCTGGGATCATTGCAGCAATGAATGATCCTAACGTTAGATTCACCGAGCCGCGAGCCTATCACAGATTTTGTGTTCGCCACATAGCTTCTAACTTGAAGACTCACGTGCAAAACAACGACATGAGAGATATGTTCAAGGCTGCTGCATACCAAAGGCAAGAAAGAAAACTTCAAGCTGATTTGTGTTTCATTGGTGAGGCATGTACCAAGGCCATGGTGTATATTGTTCAAGTCCCGTTTCCTATGTGGTCTCTCTTCCATGACGCTGGTCGCAGATATGGGATATGCACTACAAAGTTCTCTAAAACATTTAACAATGTGTTGAAGGGAGCTCGGTTTCTACCGATCATGTCCCTTGTCGAGTTAACTTTCCACAGAGTTAACAGGTATTTCACTTTAAGAAAGGAGTCTTCTGAGGCTAGGTCTGAGCAGGGACTTGCATACCCCCCAAAGGTCATTGCCATTCTAGAGAAGAAAAACGCAAAAGCCAGATATCATAAAGGTCACTGTCGTATAACTGCCGATTGCATATTTACCAAGTTACAACATAAAGGGAGAGCGACTCGGTAGAAAACGAGGCCATAAACATACTGTTAACTTTCAGTTGAGAACATGTACATGCAACAAACCAAAGATATTCCATCTTTCATGTTCTCATGTTCTAGCAGTCTGCGCGACGTATTCACTATCAGAGCGGTCGTGGGTGGACCCTGTGCTACAATCGGAGGCCTATACGAACACCTATGCACCACAGTTCTGGCTTATCCCCTGTGAGATGACTTGGACACAGTACATCGGCCCTAAACTCATTCCGGACGGCGGCATGGTACGAGGAAAAGGTCGGCCAAAGTCAAAGCGCATACGCAATGAAATGGATGAGACTCACCAGCCCCCGAGTAAATGCAGCCGCTGTCACCACCAGGGTCACAACCGGACAACGTGTCCGTCCATACCGACCGGGACCTAAGTTTGTATCTGTAATTTGATGTAGTTGAATAGTAGATTTATTTTGTATCTGATTTTGTAACGTCTGTAACATTTGTAACATTGGATCATTTCTATTTTGAATGTTGTCATTTGAAAGTTTTCGTCGTTGCATTTAACTCGTTCCGCTCATGTTTAATTAATGATCTAGTAATTGTGTTGATAATTGGTGTATAATGTTGTTAATGAACAGATTAAATTAACGACAAGATAGGACACCCGGACCTGTTGACCCTTCTGTCCTGACACTACAGGGCACACATCGGAGCGTTGACATATGGGACCAGTCGTTAATATTTCATCCGTCAGTTCATGTACTTATGCATCTTAAATTGATATACTATCTGATATTAATTACGTTCGTATGGTTTTTTATCAACTTAAACCAGCGAGGATGCTGGTTTGCAGGAACAACACTACCAGGGTTATGGCGGACTGGGTTGTCGATCAACGCGTTATTGCGTATGTCGAGTTGGCTGGCTTGGGCGGTATTCATCGGATGACGTTCAGAGAGATCGATCGAGCGCTTGTCACTACGCTCGTGGAGAGATGGAGACAGGAGACACACTCCTTCCATCTACCTATTGGGGAGGTGACAGTTACATTGCGGGACGTGGCGATACTCACGCGCCTTCTTATACACGGGCGTGCTGTGACAGGACCCGCGTTAGTCGATCCCCCTGGTTTGGTAGCTCGGGTTCTCGGGGTTCAGCCAGGTTCCGACGATATCAGGGGATCCGGGTTGAGGACTGGCTGGATACGCGAGACTTTCCGTGCGCTGCCTGCGGACGCTGATGACGCCACGGTTCAAAGACACGCTCGAGCATACCTTTTCCTACTCATCTCGGCCCTGTTGTTCGGCAACAAGAGCGGGAGCCATCTACAACTTATTTTCCTACAGCTGTTAGACCACGACTGGGATCATATCCGTGGCTACAGCTGGGGTAGTGCCTGTTTGGCGTCGTTGTATCGCCAGCTGTGTAGAGCATCCCACCGTGGTTCGGGCGAGATCGGAGGTCATTTGATTGTGCTTCAGGTAACCCACCTAATTATCAACAATCTAGTTTGGTAATTACTTACCTAGTTTATACTTAACCTAGTTTTGTATTTTTGTATTACAGTTATGGGCTTGGGAGCATATCCATGTAGGCAGACCAGGTAGGCCTGTTGTACATCTTCGGGGGCAGCAGGACCGAGACGACCAGTACCAGCCGTACGATGCTCCACTGCTCCCTACATCTAACGAGGCGTACGGTTGCAGGTTTGTTACAGCTTTCATTACTGTAGACTTCATACGGTTTTATTTTGCTAGTTGACAAACTGAAACAGTTTTTGGTATTAGGTGGGTGGTCCTAGGATTGACACTTGCGCATGCGGCGAGGGGTCTTCCGTACTACTGAGACGCCCTTGATCGACTGACCGAGGATCAGGTGGTAACTTAATAGGAATTTGTAATAATTTATTTAATATGATTCTTGTTAGTGCACTAACCTATTGACGGTATTACTTTTGGTGTGTTTTTGCAGGTGACATGGGATCCGTATGTAGCTAACTTGGTTGATGCCATGCCTGCTCATCTTCTGGATCATCAAGCAGAGTGGTGTGCTAGGACCCCCCTTGATCTGTTTCGAGGTTGTGGAGAGTCACCTACCCGACCGAGTCATGAGACAGTTTGGACTACGCAGCATGTCTCTATGGAGCGTGACACTAGTATCCGCCTACATGGCATTGGCCATCGGGGAAAGGGGGAGACAGACTGGTCAGTGGAGCATAGGGTTTACATTAACCTATGGCAGCGACGGTTGGAGTTCGTCGTTGAAGGTGATCCGATGTAGGGCGTTATGGATCCTCACGATCCGTACATGGTCTGGTACAGGCGGATTACACGGCGTTTCATCAACCCCAGCTACACACCACCATCCACACATTACCATCCAGCATATGACGTCCTTAGCGGATATGTGAGTTTCTTTTATTCTACTTATTTTCATCAATTTTTTAATTTCTATATCATACAACTGACTGATCGATGATTACTGCAGGGGACGGATATGGTGGCGATGGTTGATGCACTATCAATCACCCTTGCAGACGGATCCACCAGACCCTAGGTCGAGCGGTTGCGAGATATGGGCGTGGCTACCTTACAGAGATATGGTCACGACTATCTCGTCCACAAGTGGGACAATCATGATGGCCACTCCGTCCATTCACAGTTCGAGCTCGGCCAGGGTAGCGATGGAGGTGATCCTACGTCACCCAGAGACGCAGAGGATTACATCATCCAAAGTTCTGCGCCCACCCCTACCCAGGAGGGCCCATCGTCCAGCCAATAGACTACCCCACCGCCCCGAGACCCATTCACCACCATTACTCATTACAAGCGGCGTCGTGTCAAATAGAGGGCTGATAAATAGGATAGAGAACCATTACCCCAAATAAATGTGTCTAGATAGTATTATCTGATTTATTTGCTGTAGCCGGATTTTCTAGAATGATGTATATAACACTTACATTATTAATATGTGTGTGGTTTGAAGTTTAATTTCCTTATTTGTCCAAATCGGAGTTATGTCAGTCAAAATAGATCATTCTAGGCCGATATATATCAAACACAAGACATTTGGGCTCCATAATGAGAAATGGGGTAGAAGCGATGGGCGTTCGTGGTTAATGTGGTGGTTCATGGTGGTTGTAGTGCTGTTGGGGGGTGGTTTGAGTGGTTTGAAGTGGCTAAGGGTGGGCAAAAGCGGTGGTTGGTGGTGGTCGATGGTGGGGAGGTTGTCAGGGATCGTGAATGGCAGTGGGGATGGTGGTTGAGGTTGGGGTTGGTGGTGGGGATGGTGTTGGAGGGTGGTGGTGGCTGGATGAGTGGTGGAGGGTGGTGGCTGAATGAGTGTTGGAGGGTTGGGGGCTGAAGTTGATGTGAGGAGTCTGCTGGTTGTTGTGTGCTGCAGCCAGAAGGAAAAACGCTGTCCGAGACAGTGTTTTATGTGCAAAAAAAATTGTAAATAAAACGCTTCCTGGGACAGCGTTTTATGTTGAAGAAATAAACGCTGCCTCAGTCAGCATTTTTATGTTTTTTATTTTATTTTATTTTTTATTTTTTAAAAATCAGAATTTACGAAATTAAAAAAAAAAGGTCAAGAGGTAAAAACGCTGTCCGAGGCAGCGTTTTATACCTTAACTTTTTTAAAAAAAAAAAAATCAAAATTAGGGTACAAAACGCTGTCCCGTTTGGTAAATAGTTTTGCAACGCAACCGCTTTGCAAAATATTTTTTAAATATAGCTTAGTTTGGAAAAAAATCCGGAGGGGGTAGCTAGTTTTAATTAATGTGTACTTTAAGAAGCTAGTGCATGTGTAAGTTAACAACTTCTCACCGAAAACCTAGATCTGTCATTATGTCCTATATCTCATTGTAATCATCGAAGATCAATATCAACTCCACGTTCTCCATTGAAGCGACTTGTGAAATTTCTTTCTTCCATTGAAGCAGTTTCTGAGGTAAGATGTTGGTTTTGTTTATGTTGTGAATTCGATTTATATTGATTAACTATTGTAATGCAGGTGGGATTGAGTAGATTACCGATTTTGTTACAAGAGAAGAAAATTATGAGCTTTATTAGCTATATGTTAGAATTGAACTACGATTTTCTCCGGAAAATTATGAGCTTTATTTGCTATAAAATAGAATTGAACTACGAAATAGTACCTTTTCTCCGTATAATTATGAACAAAATTTGATAATTGAATCAAATAAGGTTGCTAATGTGTTGCAGAACCCTTTCATGTTAGCATTGAACTATGATTTTCTCCGTAAAATTATGAGCAAAATTTGATTATTGAATCGAATTTGGTTGCTAATGTGTTGCAGAACCCTTTCATGGTAGTATGAACAATGAAATTGGGACTTTTCTACCTGGGTCCAGGGCAACTGCCGCTCTTGCCTTGGCTCAGGGACTGGTCTGCGATCATCTTCGAAGCTCGAATAATTGTCTCAATGCCATCCCTTTGAGGGAGCTTGGAAGGACCCGATTATTTTGTGGTGGGAAGAAGATGGATTTATCAGTGTCTGCAAAGTTAAGGAAAGTGAAGAAGCATGAGTATCCTTGGCCTGAAGATCCTGATCTCAATGTGAAGGGCGGAATTCTCACCCATTTGTCGCCTTTCAAGCCCTTGAAGACGAAGCCAAAGCCGGTGACTTTGGACTTTGAGAAGCCTCTAATGGACCTTCAAAAGAAGATTATCGATGTGAGTGGTATAGTCTGTTTATGGGTTTAGTTAGGGTTTTGGTTGTGTTTTCCGCCTTTTATTTTTATTTTATTTGTGATCAAGTTCTTTGAATATTCTAAGTGATTCTTTTTTACAGGTAAGGAAGATGGCAAATGAGACTGGTTTGGACTTCAGTGATCAGATTGCATCTTTGGAGAATAAATATCAGCAGGTGACTTATTCACATTTTTATGTTTGCTTACTTATAGTATTGAAGTTGTTTCCTGCAGCAAGTTTTCCTAAATCGTATGTAGAATTGATGCATTATAAATCATACACTTTGTTTACATAGGATGTAATGGAGAGAAAGCGAGGGAAGGGCCTGGGGAAGGGAGGGGAACTAGTTTGGATAGGAAGCAAGGGGAAGGAAAGATAGATAGGGAGAGGGAGGGATTTATTTTTTCTCCCACTTTATTCTACATCGTCCCTCTAAAATTTGATAGATTTGGAGGGAAAATGGAGCTTCATCTTCCCATCTCCTTTTCTCTGCCATTCCCTTCTTTAGAATTGGTGCAGTGAGCGGGAGAGCAGTTGGTGAGCTGTTGTTGTTGAGCAGTTGATTTGGTGCAGTGAGTGAACTACTGTGATGCTCGTTGCTTGTGAGTTGTTGCTTGTGGTGGGTTGGCTGGGAACGCTATGAGGTGATTTGTGGGGATTAGGATGACTGCCTGTGCGAATTGGAGGAGGAGAGCAGGGAAGTGTTGTTGCTGCTGTGCATGTTTATGGTACAAGTGAAGAGGAAAGAAGCTGAGGGGCTGCAACATTGAGAGGAGTTGTTTGGTTGGGTGGATTGGTAGCTGAAGTTGTGGTAAAGGAAGGGGGGTGGGGTGTAAGATAAGCTGGCAGCACAACATATGCATGTTTGCTTGGAGCCTTGGATCATTCCTTGACTTATGCCACACACTTAAGACTCTGAATGCAACATAACACAAAAGTAAACTGAAGAGAGACACAAGACATTAAACATTTATTGAGGACAAAAACAAAAGAATATAAAAGTAAATAAAAGAGATTGCGTGAAAGAGGAAATGTTAAAGCTTTTAAAGCAAAACTAAAAACTAATTCTAAAAATGTAAACTAAAGGAAAAAACAAAATTAAGAAATAAGAACAAAAAAAAAATTGAAAAAGAAAATGCTCTAAACAAGTCAAATAAGGAAATCAAAGAAAAAGAGAAGTTAAAAAAAGGGAAATTTATGGAAACATAACCTTAAACTTATTTCTTGTTGTGCATAAATGACACTCATCGGAACCCTCAACCTTGCATTGCATTTGATAACCAAAGACTTATCCAATAATCTATGTAACATTACATGATTCTACCTGCAATCAAAATATAGTAAATGACGATTAAGAATAGAAAATTAAGTGCATGTGATAACAACCTGGTGCATTTACTTCTAAAACTATGTTCCATCATAAGCGATCACACTTAATATGGTTAGTGGGAATATCGAATGTCTTATAATAACATATTACTATTGTCCCAAGTTTTGGGCTGACAAATGTGTTAGTAGAATTGTTGAAATTTTTCTAAATTAGAGTGTAAAACTATTTTACAGTAGTGATATTGAATTTATTATTGTTATGTGCTTGCTTATGTGTTTTTACTTCTTTGTTCTATTTTTCCCCTTATTGTTCATGTCCATACTTGCATTTTACATAGAGGAGCCATATGAAACCAAAGTTCCATATTCCATAAAATTTGAAAAGTGATGTGGACTTTTCGGCAACAATATCGGCGATTGAATTAATAGAAGTACCAAACATATCTTGCACATGGACCATGGTCTCATGCCATCTTTGATCAAAACAATAACACATAATTTTATTCCCAAATATGCCGGGGCTTCATGAATCAATAGCCTATCCTGTATGGTCTGCACAAAGTTCCTCCTTTGTTAGCTTCTCCAATGCTACAACACCTTATAAGTCCACTTTCTCCATGTGATTTTGAATTCCTCCATTCAAGTCAATTTTGGTCTTCTGCATGAGATCTCTATAACTCCAACCCTTCACATTCCTTACCAAATACCAATGCACCTTCATGTCAATATCTCACATGTCCAAACCATTGTAACCATTTTTCCTTATCTTAGTCAATATCCACAATCGCAACTCCAACTTTCTACCAAATATCTACATTTCTAGTTCTATCCCTAAACTTTACTTGCCCATCCATCTTAACATACACATCTTTACTACACTCATATTTTTAATGTGCTTCTTCATAAACACCCTATATTTTGACCCATAATAATGTAGGTCTGAATGCTTTGCAAAAGGATTTCCTTTTTAGCCTTTAGGCCACTCTCAATTTGAGCAATTCATAGATCAATGTATCCATTTCTTTGTGGAATCGGTTGTATGTACTATAAACATTCACTAATAGGTAACTCCTTACCACAGAATGTCACAACGTCTACACTTTGCCTCTTCCCAGTGCTAAACGACATTTTATTAACCATTGCTCCTACTAAGCCTAAACCCTCTATATTCTATATGTCTTCATGTCTTTGACGTAGCATTCATATATAAGGTCATTGGCGGAGCCAAGGGGGGGCTGGTGGAGGCCCGGCCCAGCCCCCCGTGGTCCAACAGGTGATATAGTATTTGTCTAGTCTGACCCCCCAAAAGTAACTAATAAATAGTGAATATTTATCTTATTTACTATGCTGCCAATGATAGCTCAGTTGGTAGTATGAGCTTTTTGCATGGTGAGAAAGGTCTCAAGTTCGACTACCACTTTGAGCGTATTTTTTCTCCCTTTATTTTTTGTTTTCTAATTTTTTTTTGGGTTAACATTATCGTGTCTTGGCCCCTTCATTTTTTTTGTTTTCTAATTTTTTTTTTGGGTTAACTTTACCGAATTTTGGCCCCCTTAGATTGGCTTTGCCTCTGTATGAGGTGCAATTGTTTTTTTTTATTTTAATATATGTAGAAAAAAAACTCAAATTTAAGTTTACTAACTAATTAAAAACTTTATAAAAAAAAATCAAAAAAGAGGGGGAGGTACACATGGTTAGGGAATGGGATACTTTCGGCTCTTTATTGAACAGCAGATTGGAAAGAAGAAAGAAGAAAAAAAGCCTCAATATTATTTACCATAGAAAAAAGCCTCTAAATAGAGGGCTTAGTGTTTAAACATCAAGTTCACCAGGGTTTAACATTAAGTTACGTTAATGTTAAACCCTTATTATTCAGCCTTAATTTTATCACAGTTCAAACCTAAGTTCAAACCTTGTTCAAACCTTGTTAGCTGTCGCACCAAGCATTGATACTGTCATATTTAGCCAGTTAGTCTTTAACCTCTGATTACCACTTGCCGTTCCTTGATCTTTGTAGATAAGATCATATGTGAATTTATTAAGGGCTGATGTTTATGTCTGTTGGCTTTATTTGCTGCATTTAAATATTTGTCGAGATGGTGGTTTTTTTGTTAATAATATCCTGTGTTTCCTACTAACTGTCGATATATCTCTTTGTAGGCACTGAAGGAGCTTTACCTACATCTTACCCCTATTCAACGTGTGAATATTGCACGTCATCCCAATCGTCCAACTTTTCTCGATCATGTTTTTAATATCACAGAGAAGGTTGTTGACATTTTTTTTTTAAAAATGTTTCCTTATAGTTTCTGTTCAATGTTTTAAAATACACACGCACTACTATTCTATCAATCTAGGAAGTACTGAGGTTGCTCATATAATTATATATCGCATTGTTGTATAATCAGTTTGTGGAACTTCATGGAGATCGAGCTGGTTATGATGATCCTGCTATAGTTACTGGTCTTGGTACGATAGATGGTAGGAGCTACATGTTCATTGGTCATCAAAAGGGAAGGAACACAAAGGAGAATATTGAACGCAATTTCGGAATGCCTACTCCTCATGGGTGTGTGTTTTATTGTGCTTTGATTCATTACTATGCAAATTAATGATTGTTTGGAAAGTACACAAAAACACACACACATGCTACTACTGATATTAGGAAGTTAATGCATGTAAATATATTAGCATGGCTGTAATTAGAGGGGTCCATCCTTATTTGTTAACATGCTTCAAATTGATAGTTTATTTTTTTCTTATTATTATTTCTTATTTTTCCTCTAATAACAGATATAGGAAGGCTCTTCGCATGATGTACTATGCTGATCATCATGGATTTCCCATTGTCACCTTTATTGATACTCCAGGGGCATATGCAGATTTAAAATCGGAGGAGCTAGGGCAAGTATGTATCTGCAAATTGCTTTCCTATTCATGAGAACATGTTGTTTTTGATTAATTATTCATTATACTGGAATCCAGGGAGAAGCCATTGCTCACAATTTAAGGACTATGTTTGGGTTAAAAGTACCAATTATATCCATCGTTATAGGTGAAGGTGGTTCTGGTGGTGCTCTAGCCATTGGATGTGCTAACAAATTACTGATGCTAGAAAATGCAGTCTTCTATGTAGCCAGGTGATGTTTCTAGTGTTCTGTTCATGTCTTTAATATATCACTGATGATTCACAAAAGGTCAAGTGTAAAACATTTCCCCCTTATCGCAGAAACAAAGCTACTATGCTAGTCTTATATGGTTCTTTGGATGCCCAAATTTTGAATTATGAACATAATAAGAGCATAGTATGTTTAGTAAATGCCACATGGTGTTGTTAAATTTTCAATTTTATTCTAGTAATCTAGTATATGTCTATCTATATATGGAGTAAGTATTAGTATGATGGGTTTTTGGTATAAGACGTGGTTGGATTTTTGTATAACTAGGGACTGAGAATGAATAAAAGGGGTGTTTTTTTTTATTCAGAAGCATAACTAGGGATTGAGAATGAATAAAAGGGGTGTTTTTTTTATTGAGAAGTTGGTGATTTGTGAACTCATGGCATGAGAGGTCTGATATAGAGTATTCAATATGTGTGGTGTTAATCAGATGAACTTCTACAAGAGGGAGGTGGGTGGGGGTGAATTGTGGACGGCAACTTATAGCAAAATAAAACCGGAGTTTTAAACAAAAGTTATAAGGAACATGAAAATGCAAGATAGAATTTTTACGTGGAAGCTTCATGGGCCCAATCAAGAATAAAAAACCACGACCATAGGGATTTTACTAAATTCTTTCACTATAGGGCAACTGCTCACAACCTATTTGGACCTTTACTCAACTCGAGTTCCTACAGTTGTTCCCTTAAACAACTATCCTCACAAGCTTTGACTTAGAAGCTCTCTTTCACACCCTTGGGCTCAACTCAAAGCCTAACTACAAGAAGAGTTCACTCAACCCTTTTCCCAAAAACCCAAAATACAACTTTGTACTCTAGTGTTTAGAAAAACTTAATCAATAGGAACTCAGACTTAGAAAAGAAAGCACAAAGACATTTCAAGAGTGTTTTTCAAATTAAGTCTGGTGAGTTGTTTGAAGTTTTACAGCTCTCTATATATAGAGAAGCCATAAGCTCTAAATGTGGCTTCCCACTCACTCCACAACAGTCTTAGGACATGAGCCCAAAACTGATTGTAAAGGTAAACATGGGTACTTGGTGACCAAGTGTCAGGAATATCTCTAACTATATTCATTAGACACGGTAGTCAGTAAAGATTAAAACGTGTAAAAAAAATGACAGAGAAAAAGAAATTTTAATCAAAGATATCTTTATAAAATATTATCTAAGATTCATTTTACAAAAATAAATAAAATCTTTTTACCAAAACTGATTTCATCACATTAAAATCTTTTATCTTTTCAAGAAAAAATAAATTTAATATAGTTTCAAAGAATTAAAAATGTACGTTCCTGTTTTTTCTTAAAAATCAAGTGTGTTATTTCTTAGTTCCATATCACTACAAGTTTCCAACACTTACATAAGTCCTAAAATAACACGTCTTCACTTTTCTTAAAAATCATTAAAATCTTTATTCATGTCTTCACTGTTCGAAGCTCTAACTTTGTAACTTCAATTTGCTTCGTATCAAGCTCCCACTTAGGATCATGCCCCCAAGGAACATGACACACACTTGTTCCCCAAAAGAAACATGATAAACGCTTTTTCCCCAAGAGGAAAAAGATAAACACTTGCTTGATTTTCTTCACTTGTTTTGCCAAGTCTACATCACAGATTCTTCCATGTTCCTTCTCGGGAACTCCATTCATCTATGCACGGGAACTTAATAAAAACATTAGTTAAGTTTGCTTTGGGTCATCATCAAAACATCATAGAGGTCAACATGTGTAATGGTCAATGATCCACTTTTGCGGTTGATGTAGATAATTGGGGCCTAATATGTCAGTTGTAGTATACTCAAAATTCTTACAATCTGTACTTGTTATGGCCGATATTCAAAGAACATATTTTCATATCTTCAAGATTTTTATATGTCTGCTTGTGTTGGTGTTGGTCATTATGTATGGTTCAAAGCTATGTGGAGGGAAAGTTGATCAGTCCATGTAAAAGATATTGTTGATTGATTAATTTACTGATGAATAAGTGCAGCATTGTTATTTCTCCTGTAGTTCATGTGTTTACTGCTTTTTAGGATAAGGTGTCTTTTAAATTCTGGTTTAAAATAATTTCTCTTTAGTATTTGGCAAATTAAAGATAAAATCTAGATAGTTAAAAAATTGGCTAGACTTATACTGGTCATATTACAAAGTTATCTTTCCGCAGCCAATTCTACCCTACCCCAAACCTTCTCTTTAGGGGAGCACGGGGGAAGGGGTGCTCTCCTGTGCTTATAAGACATTGTACTCCTGGAATTAAGTTGATATTGGAATATATTGAATGATATTTTTAATATATTTTGTATTTCTATACAGTCCAGAGGCATGTGCAGCTATCTTGTGGAAGAGTGCTAAAGCTGCTCCCAAGGTATATACAATTTCCTACAGTATATATGAATGGAAATGAGAATATGGTTGACACCTTATACATATTTGTTGTCTCATGCAGGCAGCAGAAAAGCTGAGGATAACTGCTAATGAGCTGTGCAGATTGCAGATTGCAGATGGTGTCATACCTGTAATGAATTTCTCCTGAATACCTTTTCATTTCACTTTTTGGTGGTTTGTTTACTGCAGAACATGAATCTTCTTGTATCTTTCTGTTATCCCCTAGTTGGTGGAATGGTGGTTCAGTATATCACCCCCCCCCCTCTTTTTAATCTTTCTTTTTTGCATCCTTTGCTACGTGATAACATTTTGCTTGGCAAAGAACTTTTTGTATCAATCCTTTAGTTAGGCACCCTATTTAAGCTCACTGCCTTGGCTGCTTTGCAGGAGCCACTCGGTGGTGCACATGCTGATTCATCATGGACATCACAGCAAATCAAGAAGGCAATTGTAGAATCGATGGATGTAAGTATTTGTGACAGTTCATTCTCGGGGGCATGAGAATTTCAACCACAGCCCTAATGGGCTACACACATATTGTTTTTTAAAATGTCGTGTACAGAAAACAGTAAACAAGTTTCTTAATGAAACTTGGCAAATAAGAGGGCCACAGGGATATGATGTGCAGTATAACTTTTTGAGCTGTTTAAAATGCTACAATCAAATGTTGGTTTTTGGCAGGAGCTTGTGCAAATGGACATTGAAGAGCTCTTGCGTCATAGGACACAGAAGTTCCGGAACATTGGTGGTTTTCAAGAGGGGTTACCTGTTGACCCTAAGAAAAAAGTGAACATGAAGAAGAAAGAAGAACCACTCCAAAGCAAGGCTTCAACCCTGGAGCTGGATAGTGAGGTTGAAAAGCTGAAGGAGCAAATCCTAAAATCCAAGGATTTGTCAAATGAAACTCCAAATGTAGGTGAAATGATCGAGAAGCTCAAGCAAGAGGTTGACCATGAATTTTCTGAAGCTGCTGAAGCCTTAGGCTTGAAGAACCAGCTTTTGAAGTTGAGGGAAGAACTTTCAAAAGCAAGAAATGCCCAGGATAACGTAGTGCAGCTGGACAAGGTTGAAAAATTTAAGGACGAGTTCAGTAAACGGCTATCTACAGCTCCTAATTACGAAAGCCTTAGTTATAAGCTTGATATTCTGAAAGAATTATCCAAAACCAAGAAAATCTCTGAAAGTAAAAGCAGGTCAACCATGTTGAAGCAGGAGGTGAACAAGAAATTTAAAGAGATCCTAAATCGTCCTGATATAAAGAAGAAGGTTGAAATGCTTAAGTCTGAAATTAAGAAATCTGGGGCATCCACTCCAAATGATCTTGACCGTGGACTGAAGAATAAGATCATGGAGCTAAAGAAAGAGATAGAAGTAGAATTTGTAACTGTTCTTAAGTCCCTAGATTTGGATCTAAAGATTGCAGAACCAAATGCTGTAGCTTCTGTTGAAGGAAGTTTGCCCTTAAACCTAAAAAGCATGATTGGAGAACTGAATGAAGAAATACAAGGAAAAATTCAAAACACTGTCAACACATCGGAGTTGAGGGACAAAATAGATATGTTGAAATTGGAGCTAGTGAAGGCTGAAAAGAACGCTGATGCAGAACTGCAAAATAGAATTCAGGTTTTGACTAATGACATAAAGAAGAGTCTCGCAGAGACTCTAAGTACTTCTGAGCTTGTTGAAAAGCATGGAAAGCTTAGATTTGAGATTGAAAAGGTACTAAAATCTAATGGGAGTTCAAGTAAAAGTCCAGACACTGGATCAAAGGTGGATGAGATTAACATTGGAGCTGAGCGCAGCTATGCTTAGTATATTTATAGTCCATTTGTTCTCTTATTACTTATGCATGTTGTCCATTTTCCTTAGTTTATTCCTTAAGAATTTGCTTCACATCCACTTGAATAGTGGAAGAGTCAAAATTTACTAGATTTTTTCTAATTTTAGGGTGACAGGAAAATGCTGCCCAAAACTTGAATAGGGGCCTTATATTAGGTAGGTGATTTTTTTAAATTTTATTTTATTTTATTTATTTTATTTTTTTTTTTCCGACAAAATTGGCCTTTAGTGAGTATTCCCTTGCCAGAGTCGGTGAGCCTTCAATTTCTTATTATCATTAAATTTTTAATTTTTTTAGTTTGACAAACATATTAAAAAGAAACTATAAACCCATAGAAATTTTATAGTTAAAGTTTTGCAACTTAAAAATCGAAAAACAAAATTCAAAATAGATGAGAAAAATTATATAAAGTTTTAAATTAAAATACAATTGCATCCTTTTTAGTCTTCATCTTTTGGACAAGATATCGCACATGCTATTTCGTAACCTACTTTTGACGTATGTTATATTGCAAGGAACACTCTTTCTTGTCATATCATACATACTAACTTAAGAAACAATTTAACAACCCTAATATTGGGATTTAAATAATCAACAATAAAAAAAAAGCAATTGGGATTTAAACAATTAAGAAATTTTAACAATTAAAAAATCAGACTTAAATAATTATAACAATTAAAAAAGTAATATTTAAACAATTAAGCAATTATAACAATTTAAAAAAAATTAATATTTAAACAATTAATCAATTATAATAATCATTATTGTGGACAATAGTTTACTAATTTGCTCATTTCTTTTGCCTTTTTAAAAAAGGAAAAGAAAAAACTTGAATTTTTTATAGACAGAGGGGGACATCTGCCCCCTCCCTCCGCCTCTGGCTAAACAATACATTAGTACAATCTTTAACGTCTTTTATTACTAATATGTAAAAATTACACTCTACAAATGCCAATGCATTCGTTTGAAATTGAATATATATGATTACATATTAGCAAAAAAATATAAAAATATTCATATTCTTAACTTTATATTTATATTTATAATTATTTAACGATATATTTCATGATAAAATTTGTTTCTATGCTTTACTAAAAAACGATGGTAAAAGATTTTGTGGGCAAATCTTCCCTTATTAAGATTCCCACCCTTGTCGTGGTCGAGCTTCCCACCTCTTTAAGCCTCTTGCGGTTCCACCGGCGGTGAAGAGGAAGTGGAGCCAAGTCGTCCTTACACCGGCGATCTCGTTTTGCCGGCAACCGTCTCCTTTCTTTTGGTCAATTACAGAAGGTCTAGCTGTCCTCTTGTTTCATCTTCCCCCTTTGAAACTCTAGGAGCTCGCCGGAGCTCCGGCGCCGCGGCCTCCTCTTCTTCTTTCCCCTTCCTCTTTCTTATTCTTCTCTTCTCTTGTCTTCTGCTTCTCTTCTCCTTTATTTTCATTTCCCCTTCTTGGTTTTAGCGGCTCACACCGTCATCCTCTTTATTATTGAGGATTTTAATCCTTTTTGGGTGTTTGTGAGAGCCTATTCCAAGTTTCGAAGGTTTTGAGGGGAGTGTTTAGATCGTCCAACTCCGACGTTGTTTCCCACCTTTGTGTAGAAGGTTTGTGTTCGCTCAAAGGGTCTCTCCGCTAGTGAAACAAGGCTTAAGGTCTAGGCCTAACGCTGTCGTCATTAGTCATCGTTAAATTTGACCGTGACGGAAACGGTAAAGTTAGGGTTAGGGTTTCGTGGGTCCTTGCGCTGGAGGGCTAGGTCTAATGCCGCCGTCAAGAGTAGTTCGTGACAGAAACGGTGAAGTTAGGGCTAGTGTTTTGAGGCTCCTAGTGTGCGTGGCTTCGGATTTTCGGTTTGGACGGTGCTCTCCTCTGGTTTGTTCCCTTTCTTAAGTATGATTTTCCTTAGTATTTATCAGAGTTTACTTGCCTTAGTTTGTGTTTTGGTACGGTTTAACCTCCTTTGGTTGCTTTTCGGGCTATTTAATTGTTTTGGCTATAGTATTTTGGATGGTTGTGTGCAGTTGGAGTTAAGATCCTGTGTTAAGGATTGTGTTGTGGTTATTGTGGTAAGAGCGGTTATAGGTGCGGTTGTTGAGGGTTTGAACAAGAAGTTGGCCTTGGCTAAGGTAAAGTATGTACTTTGTTGGAGAGGTATTAGTTTGGTTTCTTTTCCCTCAGATGTAATGATTCATGTGATCATTACTCTTGAAATTTGTTATCTGAAGCAGGCGCCCAAAGTTTGTTTTGGGGTTTCTCGAGCCTCAACGTTGTCAAAGCTTTCTTGCCAACAAGGAAAGCTATTGATTGGAAGGTCACTAGTTCAAGTGACCCGTTTGATGACCTTACTTGTTGATGAGTTGATCCCGCCAAGTACGGATTTGCTAGCTATGGTCAAACAGTTTCGATCCTCTTCGTTGCTCTCTTTACGGTGTGTAGTATGTTTTTGCTCCTTGGTTTATAAGGAGTCCCTAATCTGCGAATTATCCAGCCAATTCAAGTTTATTTTTGTTTTAAATCTCAAAAGTTGTTGTAATGGCTTAAGTGTTAAAAGCCATATTTTAAGTTTTAGTTCTTGTTCTATAAGGTGTAAACTCTGATTTTATGAATACATTTGCTATTATCAAAAAAAAAAAAAAAAGAATAGTGAAAAAAGTAAAACGTGTTAATTATTTAGGAACGGAGGCAGTATAAGATTAAATATAAATCAATCAAAGTATTGCATTTAAAAGAAAAGGAGGAACTGTACTTTAATATTCTTAGATGGCTAGACCCCTTGTCTTTAGGACATATTTAGTTGACCTTATTTTTGCATATCTAGTCCGATCTGAACTACGTTATGTGTTTAGCTAGCCGCATCATGTGACCGCTTGTAAAAGAATAAAGTAACCCCTGTAATATTGACTAGGTAACTCCTATAATAATGACGAAGTAACCCTTATAACACAGACCAAGTAACCCCTAATTCCCATAATGGCTGACCACACTGTGTGGCCAACCATATTTAAGAATTTATGTAAAAAGTCTGATATAATTTGGTCTGATAAAATCTAGTCTAATCTAATTGTTTGATTTGACCAAACTTTGATATTATGTCTACGATAATTTATAGAAAAAAAATATATCTAGTTAGGTTTTTTTTTTTTTTTTGAATGAGAACTAATAATATCATTACATAATAGCCATATGACATCTACAATAATAAAGATCAGAATATTGTGTATTTAACGATAAAGTAGGTCAGAAACTTATTATCTTTATGATATCTTAAATAAATATAAATTCTCGTAAAAAAAATATATATATATATATAAATAAATAAGTATAAATATGGTGAACTGACATTAATTACAATAGAATAGAAGATCGTAGTTTAGCTTTTAATCCGATTGAAAATTGACCATCCCTTGCAATCATCTACTCGATCTCAAATCTCATACAACTATACAAGTACCTAACTATTGCATCGCACTTGGTATTGCACTCACCAAACCAAACCCAAAATCTTGCATATTTTCACGGCAAACGCAATTCAAATTTTCTCATTCTCCAAATCAAATCTACAATCTGTGGGATTCTGAGCATAGCTATCAAAATCGGGATTCTACCTTAAATCGGTGAGAGGAGTAGAATCGAATCGGTAAAATCGAATTGTAGAATCGTATGATTCTACAAAATTGTAAAATTGGGCTTCAAAATGTAACTAATGACTACATACATAATTTTATAGCAATGAGAATGATAATAATATATATTGTTGATAACGTAATATTGACAATACGAACATAAAATAGTTTTAGAAGTAATTTCGCACGTGCATAACTCAAACAATACACTATAAACTATAAAGTCAGATTATTGGTACACATTCTTAACCACGAGAGTACACGACAATTGTTGTTAAATTATGAAAAAAAATAACGTTGTTGACTCGTAAAGTTGTTTCCCCTAGACCCTAATAGAAAATCCAATGATAATAGAAAACTAAGTGTCAAGTTAGTTCATTTAACGAGTTAGCTAAAGAATAACAATTACAACAAACTCATGTTATAAATGTGTTTTTTATGGCCCAAAGTTGAGTGCATAAGACTCATGAATACATTCTTATGCCCACAAAATTTAAATGGTTGGATAGAATCTTAAAAGTTATTTAAATTGATATTTTATAAGCTTTATTATGATTTAGATTGAATAATATATAAGTCATGGACTAAAGTTAGGCTCAACTATTACACCCTTACACTCTTTAGTCTATAACATTAAATATATAAATGATATGGGTACGAAACTAATTCTATTAGAAAGTAGACTTTAAGAGCTTTCCAATGATATATTATAAGCCCTATTCCGACTTTGGAATCAAAAGTTATGGGTTTCGAAAAATCAGACTTTTTACAGGAGTGGAATCGGTATAGAATCGTAGAATCAGTACCACCAATTCTAACCGATTCTATGAGCGATTCTACCAATGATTTACATCGTTTAGGTTGATTGGGATCATACGATCCGAATCAAGATTTTAATAACATTGATTATGAGAAAATAAAATATCTTGAATTTTCGAAATTTAGATGATTTTTGGGCCTTTTACATTACTCAACACTCTAAGTCGTCGACAAGGCGTTGGCACTTTGCGGGAACACTTAGTGGAATTATAACCTCAATCTACTCTATGTTGTTTGATTGGAAATTCTTCATTTTGGTACCGTTAATTGGTTATAGCTTCGCTTGGTATAGCCATTTCTTCGTAGAAAGGAATGTTCCAGCAACATTTGGTCATTCTTTTATGATTTTAAGATGTTTGGTTTAATTCTTACTGGTTGAATGGATAGCGAGTTCAAGAGACTTGGTAAACGTCCTGTTCTGCAACCTTTTTTGATTTCTTGCACATTTTTTTACTTTGATTCTTCTATATATGCTTGTACCTCTCTTTATTTAACATTTTTTCTGTATTATTATTCCTGTTTTAAATTGTGATAATTACCATCCCTATTAAAGTATTCAAACATTGTAAACCTTTAATGAGCTGATTCACTTTTATTATTTAGCTTAACGAAATTTGTATTGTTTGTTTTGTTTGTGTTTTAATATTGAAAAATTTGCATTCCCTTATATATTATCAACCATAACCAAACCTTAGTGAGTTACTGGTGCCGAAAACCATGTTGGAAAGTCTGAAACGAATGTCGCAGAATTTTCATGTTTTTTTGGCCTTACTTTTTCTAGGGAGGTGTATCCCCACATAAACACCCAATAGATAGAAGACACCTCATCATTTTATTATAATGAATGGGAGAGAGTTGAACGGGAGAGTTAAGCGGGAGAAAACTTAGTAATTCTCGCCTAAGAAGAGAAGAGCGGTGTTGAGTAATTAGGTTTTGATGATTGTAAACTAATCATGATTATCTATCTAACGTGTTCGTTAAGTTGTGCATAGAAAGAACAAGTTATGCTTGGGACAAGATACAAGGAACTCGAGCAATGACAAGTATATATATAAGGAACTTGAGCAAAATATAAGTTTAATGAGGTAAGTACTGATGTGTGGCATTTATGCCACCATTTTACCCTTTTTCACTACAGATTTCCCCCGGATTTGTCACTTGCTTATGCCTCTTTTCACCCCTTTTATCTTGATTTTAGTCACTTTAGCTCCCTCTCGTATTTTCCCCTTCCCTTTTGTCTTTTCTTTTAGTTTTTACCTCCTTTTTGTGTGTTTTGACAGCTCCCAGCGCTCGTGTGCGAATCATGAATTAATAACTTGAGTAGAGATGCCAAAGGAGCTTGCCAAGGGAGTGGAGATGCCAAAATGGAGAAGGCGCGCTGTTTAAAATGGCCGCGGGCGCGGGCTTGATAGCCGCGGGCGCGGACAGGAAAACCCTGAAGCCAGCAAGAGAAAGTGGAGATGGCGAGCCGCGGGCGCGGAGCATAGGGGCCGCGGGCGCGGCAGAGAAGACCCGCGGGCGCGACATTCTGGGTTTGACGAGGCTATTTACCCAGCTTGGAGAGGGCGCGGCACCCTGTTCGGAGAGCCCTCTCCCTTGCCCTTTTTCTTCATTTTGGTAGAAGACTATAAATAGTCTCTAGCTTGAGTTTTTCACTCATTCACTATTCCATTGGTTTTAAATCATTTGTAGAGAGAGAATTTCCATGGCTTCTAGAGAGAGAAAACACTAGTGTTCAAGAACCAATCTTTGTAACCAAATATTCAAGCTTTCTTCTAGATTGTTGCTACTACTTTGATGATTTGGTAATCTTTCATCTTTATAATATCAATCTTTACTTTTGTTTCTCTAGTTTTTGATCTTCTTTGTTTTATTGTTCTTACTTGAGTTTACTTTCATAAATATTCAAGCTTTATTAGTTTCTTTGATTTCCTTTCAAGTTAGAATCATGTTAGGTTGTGTTGATATTGAATATATGCTTATGTTAGTTGTTTTGGATATTCCCTTCCTTCTAGCTTAGTTTTTTAGCTAGGGAAGGGGGTGAAAATCATGTGTATTTGACTATCTAATTGATTATTGATTGGGACTTATTCTTGAGTTGATGATTTGAGCTATAATATGCTTGGAGTTAGTGTGTGCACCTCTAATCCCAAGAGTCTAGCCCTTGATTGAATGCATGAGAATGATTTAATCTAGGTGTGAATGATTTCATCGACTTGCTTGAGTAGTTGCATGAGAATGAACTATCTTAGGTAGAGTTTATACTCCTAGAATCGGCTCCTTATCGGTTTTCATTAGTATTCCTTGTTCATGATTGAATCCCCCTCTCCCTAGTGCTTTTGTCATTGTTATCTCTCTAATCTTGTCCATTTATTTGCATTTAAGAGTGTTTAATCTATTTCCTTTGTTTTTAGTTTATTCTAGGCTCAATAGTAGTTGGGCTGTCCATAGGATTCTTCAAACACAAATCTAAATATCCTTTTTTTTTGTTACTAGCAATTTCTCCTCGATTTCGTATTAATTGTGCTAAACCCCCGTTTCCTTGGGAATCGACCCTACCTTACCGCTATCTAAAGAAAAATTGATAGAGTTAGGATAGGAGTTATAAATTGTAATTTTGATCTAGGATAGTAAACTAACGACCTATTGTCCATCGATCAAATTTTTGGCGCCGTTGCCAGGGAAACGGCTAGTTTTGCACATTTATTTGCGTGATTTGTGGATTTTGTTGCCTTTTATTTAGTTCTTTTTCCACTTGCTAGTCATTGCTAATTGTTTGCTTAGCTTTGGTGAATGCAAAGAAGATCTCAAGGACCACCTACTCACAACCTTGATCACGAAATCGACCGCACCTTGAGACAAGTCCGTGGACTCTATCAAGAAGAGGGACGAGGTTTTGGTGCTATCTTTGATAGTGAGAGTGATTCTTGTTCCTCACATTCCCAAGGTGACGAAATGGCAGGACAACAAGCGGATGTTTTATTTCGAGAGTTCGGTAATCCGGAGGATTATGAGCTCACTGGTGGGATATTGCTACCCGTCACGGAAACTAACTTCACCATCCATCCTCAATACACTCGAATGGTTCAATCGGAGCGATTCTCGGGTTCGCCAAGTGAAGACCCCATCGAGCATCTTGATAGGTTTCTTGAACTTTGTGCCATGATACAAACCAACCAAGTTTCTCAAGAATACATTCGGATGCACCTATTTCAGCAATCTCTTGCGGGGAGAGCAAAGAAATGGCTCAAGCAAGTCAAGCCTAATTCTCTCATAATATGGAGGGAAATTGTCCAAGCATTTTTTAAAAGGTTCATCTCCGAAGAGAAAACCGCCGACGTGAGGAAGAAAATAGCATCTTTTGAACAAGAGGTGGAGGAAAGCCTTAGTGAAGCTTGGGAGAGGTTTAAAGAGTTGGTGCAAGCATGTCCTCACCATGAATACAATCAAAGCTTACTCATGAGGTTCTTCTATGATGGTTTGGAACCGATGTCTCGAGCTAATTTGGATGCGAGGGAGGGTGGACAATTGATCAAAGTCCCTCAAAATCAAGTTGAAGCAACAATCGAAGAGGTAGTCAAAAACTACTCTTGGGGAGGAAGAAGGAGGAATGCGCCAAAGAAAGGTGGGAAGTATGAGTTGGAGAAAGTCGATCAATTGCAACATCAAATTGAGCTTTTGACAAAAGGACTTGCAAAATTGAATACTAGTGTCAATAGTGGGGCGAGCTCCTCCCAAGTCAACTCTTTCTCTTGTCAAAATTGTGGTGGCACCAACCACGATACATCCTATTGTGGAGGGTTAAGCCCGGAGCATGTAGCGACATACAACACAAGGCAAGAAGGATTTAGGGGAGGTGGCGGTGGAGTAGCTTGGAGACAACCACCACCCGGATTTGCAACCCCACCTCAACAATGGAATCAACAAGCTCAACAACCATACAAATCAAACCTCCAATATCAAAACCCACCTCCATTCCAAACCCAAAATCAAAGAGGAAACTACCCAAGAAACAACCAACACAATAATCAACACCAATACCAAAATCAAACCCAAGCAACTCAAAGAAGTCAAGAGCAAGCATCTCAACCCGATTCTACTCAAACTCAAATTCTTCAACAACTTCAAGCCATGAATCAACAAATGCAAGAAGTCAAGGCTCATAACAAGATGGTTGATTCGCAACTAGCACAATTGACCGAGAGGGTTCCTTTCAACTCATCTTCCACTTTGCCCGGACAATCACAAACCAACCCTTCCAATATTGTGAAACCCGACTCTTGCAAGGAAATCACATTGAGATCGGGTGCATCTTATTATGAGGGTCCCAAGGAAGAGGATGGCAAGGAAAAGAAGGAGGGAGAAGAGGAGATGAGTGAAGATAAAAAAGTTGAAGAAGAGAAGGTTGATGAGAAAGAGAAGAGTATGGAGAAAAAGAAGTCTAAGGATGTGGTGACATCCTCAACTTCTAGTGAGGCTAGAAACCTTGATGGACCGGTTCCTTTTCCCGGTCGGCTTGCGGAGAGAAAATTGAACGATAAATTTGAAAAGTTTCTAAGTGTGATGAAAAACTTACACATTAACCTCCCTTTCATTGAGGTTGTCACACAAATGCCCTCATACTCCAAGTTCTTGAAAGACATTCTCACCAACAAAAGGAAGCTCAATGATGAGCTTATCACTCTTCCCCATCAAGTGAGTGCACTTGTTCAACACAAAATGCCCAAGAAGCAAAAGGATCCGGGAAGCTTCACCTTGCCGGTCAAGATTGGGAACATGGAAGCTAGGGGTGCCCTAGCTGACCTCGGAGCAAGTGTTAGTTTGGTCCCTCTATCCATTGCTCAAAAGCTTAACATTGAGATGATCCCCACAAGGAAAACCATTCAATTGGCCGATCGTTCGGTGAAGCTACCTTGTGGTGAGCTTGAAGATGTCCCTATTCAAGTTGGGCATATCTATGTGCCATGTGACTTTGTAGTGATGGATATGAAAGAAGATGTGGATACACCTTTGATTTTGGGCCGTGAATCCCTTATGACTTTGGGGGCGGTAATCAATTGCAAGAACAATACCATTACATGTGAGGTAGCCGATGAAAAAATTGTCTTCGAATTCTCTAAGCTACTCAAGACCCCCATGGTTGAGAAGTGCTATAGGGTTGATGTTGTTAATGAAGAGCTAGATCGTTTGGGAAGGGTTATGATGAGTCCTCAAGATCCAATGGTTGAAGCTCTCACATGTGAGGAAGAGTACTTCTCCCAAGAAGCAAAGGAGTTTGCTATGGCCATTAAAGAAGCCAAAGAGGAGGAAGCGAGTGATCCTAAGCATGATGAGGTAGAACATGAGGAGGAAAAATTGGAGGAGAGTTCTAAGCCTCCTCCCAAGGTAGAACTCAAACCCCTTCCCCCTTCTTTGAAATATGCTTACCTTGGAAATGAAGGGGAATACCCTATTATTGTCAATGCTTCCCTTAATGGTCTTGATTTGGAAAAATTGATTGTTGTTTTGAGAAAGTATAGAAATGTGATAGGGTATGGCATTGATGACATCAAGGGTATTAGCCCTTCTTTATGCATGCATCGTATTCACCTTGAGGATGATCAATCCACCTCCATTGAGCCTCAAAGGAGGTTGAACCCCAACCTCCAAGAGGTTGTCAAGAAAGAAATTTTGAAATTGCATGAGGCGGGTATAATCTATGCTATCTCTGATAGCAAGTGGGTTAGCCCAGTTCACGTGGTTCCCAAAAAGGGTGGAATGACCATTGTCAAGGGAGAAGGAGGAGAGGAAATCTCCACCCGGACGGTGACCGGGTGGAGGATGTGCATTGATTATAGGAAGTTGAACAAGAACACTAAGAAAGATCATTTTCCTCTCCCCTTCATGGACCAAATGTTGGAAAGACTCTCCCATCATGCTTTCTTTTGCTTTTTGGATGGATATTCCGGCTTTTTCCAAATTCCTATCCATCCAAATGATCAAGAGAAAACTACTTTTACGTGTCCATATGAGACATTTGCATACCGAAGAATGCCATTCGGGTTATGCAATGCTCCCTCAACTTTCCAACGATGCATGACCTCCATTTTTTCTGAAATGCTTGAGAATGAAATTGAAGTTTTTATGGATGATTTTAGTGTTGGTGGCTCGTCTTTTGACACATGTCTTATTAACCTTGAAAAAGTTTTGAAAAGGTGTCAAGAGACGAGTTTAGTGTTGAATTGGGAAAAATTCCATTTTATGGCCGAGGAAGGTATTGTCCTAGGCCATAAAGTATAAAAAAGGGCATTGAAGTAGACTCGGCTAAGGTTTCGGTGATTGCTAAGTTGCCCCCTCCTACCTCCGTCACGGGAGTGAGAGCTTTTCTTGGGCATGCCGGTTTTTACCGGAGGTTTATCAAATATTTTTCATCAATCGCCAAGCCCTTAACCGAGTTACTCAAAAAGGATGTTGTGTTCAATTTTGATGAGGCTTGCCTTGAGGCATTCCAAAAGCTCAAGGAAGCCCTCATCTCCTCTCCTGTTGTGCAAGCTCCGGATTGGAGCTTGCCTTTTGAGCTAATGTGCGATGCAAGTGATTTTGCAGTAGGTGCCGTACTTGGGCAAAAGAAAGAAGGAAGATCTTGTGTCATCTACTATGCAAGTAGAACGCTCGACTAAGCTCAAAGGAATTATACCACAACGGAGTAGGAAATGCTAGCGGTTGTCTTTGCCATGGATAAGTTCCGTTCTTACCTCATATGCTCAAAGGTGATAGTATACACGGATCACATAGCAGTCCACTACCTTATGACCAAAAAGGAAGCAAAACCGCGTCTCATTCGTTAGGTTCTTTCTCTCCAAGACTTTGACATGGAGATGAGAGACAAAAAGGGAGCGGAAAATTATGTGGCGGATCATCTATCTAGACTTCCTTTTGAGACTAAAGAAGATGTGCCTATTAATGAAGAAGTGGGTTTTGAGACCCTTATGGCTATTGCATCAACATCAAGCCCTTGGTATGCGGACATTGCCAATTACCTAGCATGTGGTGTCGTTCCCCCGGAATTCTCCTCTCAACAAAAGAAAAAGTTTTTTAAGGAAGTGAGGAGATACTTTTGGAATGATCCTTATTTGTTCAAGCAATGTGGAGATGGCCTCTTTCGGAAATGTGTTCCGGATCATGAGATTGAAGGGGTGCTTGAGCATTGTCACTCATTGCCATGTGGTGGGCATGGAGGAGTAGAAAACACCGTGGCCAAGATTTCTCAATCTCTTCTTTGGTGGCCAACAATGCACAAGGATTCCCACAAATTCATTGCTAGATGTGATAAGTGCCAAAGGAGTGGGGGCATAACCAAGCGTGATGAAATGCCTCAACAAAATATTTTGGAGGTTGAACACTTTGACGTATGGGGGGTCGACTTTATGGGGCCTTTTGTTTCCTCTTGTGGCAATCTCTATGTTTTGGTGGCGGTGGACTATGTGACCAAGTGGATCGAAGCTATACCCTCGCCCACCAATGACCACAAGGTTGTGCTCAAGCTTCTAAAAAAGATCATCTTCCCAAGATTCGGGGTTCCAAGAGTTCTTATTAGTGATGGTGGTTCTCACTTTGCCAAGAAACAACTTGAAGCTCTCCTCAAACGATATGGGGTTCATCATAAAATCGGCCTATCATACCACCCCCAAACTCAAGGGCAAGTGGAAGTATCGAATAGGGAGATCAAGAACCTTCTTGAGAGGATGGTAAACAATTCTAGAAAAGATTGGTCTCTCAAGCTTGATGATATGCTTTGGGCTTTAAAGACGGCTTACAAGACCCCGATTGGTACTACCCCTTACCGATTGGTCTATGTCAAAGCTTGTCATTTGCCGGTTGAGTTAGAGTACAAAGCTTGGTGGGCGATCAAAGAGCTCAATATGGATATGACCTTGGCGGGCGAGAAAAGACTATTTAAGCTCAATGAACTTGAGGAGCTCCGCTATGATGCCTATGAGAACTCAAGACTCTACAAGGAGAGGACCAAGAGGTGGCACGACCAACATATAAGGAACAAGAGCTTTAAGGTTGGGGACAACGTGTTGTTGTTCAATTCTAGGCTCCGTTTGTTCCCTGGAAAGCTTAAATCAAAATGGTCGGGGCCTTTCACAATTTCGAAAACAACTCCTTATGGGTCTTTTGAGTTGGAAGCGGATGGGAAAAAGTTCATGGTTAACGACCACCGTTTGAAGCTCTACCATTGCAATAATCAAGCTGACATGATTGAGTGCATGAGGCTCGATCCGCCGGATCCTAAGCCACTTTCTTGAAGATGATGTTAATGGTCAAGCTAATGACCTTATAAAGAAGCGCTTCTCGGGAGGCAACCCGAGTTCTCAACTCTTTTGATGTTGTGTTTCTTGTCTTTGATTATGTTTGAACGATTTTTCTTTAATCTCTTTTTGTGTGTGTTTGTTCTTCCATTAGGTACTTTGATCTTTGGGATTTTGATCTATTAAGTTGAGTTTGGAGAGGAGAAGGAGTATGGAAGAATTGAAAGTGGAGATGCCAGGAGGAACCCTGGAGAGGGCGCGCACAGGACACCCGCAGGCGCGGCAGACCCCCCTCCAGTTTTCAAAGGTAAGTGGAGATGCCTGGGAGATGGCTGGAGAGGGCGCGCACAGAAGGCCCGCGGGCGCGGAATACACCCCCGCGGGCGCGACCAGGCATCTCCGCGGGCGCGCCTCTCACCTCCGCGGGCGTGGCTGGAAGCAGTTCAAAATGTCGGAAAATTGGAATGCCCGACCTGCGGGCGCAGCATACGAACCCGCGGGCGTGGACAGGGTATGACGCGGGCGCGGCCCTTGAACCCGCGGGCGCGGCCCTTCAGAACTGCGATTTCTTCTTTATTCTCAGCCATCTGCCTGAGTCTATTTTCCTCCCATAAATCAGTTTTTTCCCTCTTTCTCTCTCTACTCCTTACTCCATTCCAAACCCTAACCCATTCTACCTCAATTTCTCTTCCCAAATCATCAAACTCCATCAAATTTCAACAAATTCCCTCACTTTTCTTCAATTTTTCTCACCAAAAATCTGAAATTTCATCCTTTAAAACCCCCAATTTCGGTATTCCTCTTTGTGTGACATTTTCTTTCACCATTGGAGGGTTCTTTAAGGAAGTCTTGATTTCTTCTTCAAGGGGATAGTAGGAGAAATTGTGGGTACCCATTTTGGTATACATTTCTTCTTTACTCTCATTTACCTTTGAATTTGAAGCATGCCTCTGGTTGAGAAATTGTATGCTTATGAATTTTCATGTTGGAATTTTTGATTGGTGCATGCCTATATTGTGTTCATTCATCATCTTAAGCATCATTAATTGTTGAGTTGTTGTTTGTGTTAGTTGTTTCTTGTCATAGATTGCTTGCTTGTGGGTTGAACTTGGTGATTCTTGGTATTGGAAATTGTTGTAGTGTGATTGTTGTGAGGGATTGTTGAGGTATTGGACTGCAATTTGGTATTGGTGATAATGGTTTTCGGTTCTAAGAAGAGAAAAAGTGGGAAGGAACTTCAAGGTTCATCCTCCTCCAACCCCCAACAAAATGAACCAACACAAACCGCTCCACCACCTCTACCACCCCTCAAATTCCACAACAAAAACCACAAACCCATCTACGACAACCTCCTAAACAGGAAGTTGAGACCAACCAAGCATTACCACCACCCCACCACCACCAAGCTTGGCATCGACGAGGATTGTTGGTTCTTGTTCAACAACCTCGGGCTTGGTTCCTTTGTGTCAAGTGCATATCGAACCTACAAAGAGCCTACCCTAGAGTTTCTTGCTTCTTTCGAAAGCCATGCCGCAGGGGATAATGATCTCTCCATCTCCTTCCAACTCTTTAACAAAAAAGAAACCTTCACCCTCCGCCAGTTTAACCAACTACTGGATTTCAACCCCGATGCCGATATGTTCTTCCCCGAGCATGCAGACCTCCATGCTTATGAGCCTCTTCATTGGTGGAAGGTCATTTTGAGAATGAACGCTTTCAACTCCAAGTACTCTTTAGCCAGCCAGATCATGCACCTAGCCATCAGACTTCTGCATCGAATTCTCGGGTACATGGTCTTTAATAAACAAGACTTTGGGAAGATAACAACTGAGGAAATCCGGATATTATGGCTAGCTACGCAGCCAGAGATTGGGCACAGAATGAACGTCAGGTTTCTATTCACCAAATGCATTGAAGGTGTTCTCTCGGGTACAAGGAAGGGTGAAATTCATTTTGGAGGGATGGTCACTCGGATAGCCGAGAAGTTGGGGCATTTGGCTAAGCTTGAATCTTGCACCCCCGTGGGGAAGAGTGATGGGAGTGATATTTGGCTCGACCTCGACCAGCTAAAGACCATGAAATTCATCGCAGATACCGAGGATCAAGGAAGGACTTGGAGCTTACTTGTCTCCCACGAGCACCACTGTTTCCTTCCCAAGCCGGAATTCACTTCCTTCACGAGGGAAGGAGTCAATTACCCATGGTGGGTAAAGAAGGACTCGGGTGTCCTTCCTAGTGCGAGAATGGCCATGGGAGAAGGGTTCGGTCAAAGCCATGAGAGCGCAGAGGATGAGTTCAACCAACAACAACAACAACAACAACAACAAAGCAGTAGGCAACAACAACAACATCATCAACCTGACTACCAACAACAATTGGAGGCAATGAGAGCCCAAATGGAAAGCATGCAACTTGGCATGCAAGGTATGTTTGCTTCCAACCAACACCTTTCTTTTCAAACCAACGCTTTATATGATTTGAGTGTACGTAGAGGGGATGTCACCCCCCGGTCAACTACCCATATGTGCCGGCCTAACAAGGGCCCGTGCCATCTTCGGGGGGGGGGGGTGACAACCAACCTACGTACCCATATTGGCAAGGGACCTCGGACCCTACTGTGCCTAGGCATGATTTCCCTGATGAGTCCGGTCATGATGATTACCGGGTTTTGGGTGGGAGTGATTACAGGGGTGATTCTAACTACCCCTATGTCGATCCCTCTCACCCCGCACCCCTTGTCCAACCCGAGCCATATGACCAGTTATCCGCATCCCAGCTTGACCTCTTCAAAGGTCATTATGGGTGGCCGCCTGGCTACTCCGGAGGTTGGGACCCCTATGGGCCCCCCACAGGTTTTTCTTATGACAGTGGGAATGCGGATAACGACGGTGCCGACCCTAGTGGCCATTAGTTTCCCCCTTATTCTTTTTGTTCCCTCCCCTTTATTACATGTCCTCATGTCGCATCGAGGACGATGCTTTACTCTAGTGTGGGGGGGGTGTTTGAGTCAAAGGAGAGTGTTAGGGAATGCTTGAGGTGAGTGTGGGGGAAGGCACCTAGGACTCAAGGGACTATTTAGGGGTTTTGGGTGTAGGTGTCGTTTGTAGCGTTGTTGTTGTTTGGTGTCTATGATGTCCATTTCTATGATGATGATGATATGATGATAATGTTTTGATGATGATGATTCTATGATGATGGTATGTTTGGGTAGTAGGTCATACCCAAAGAATTAAGTTCATGGATTTTCTTTCTCTCTCTAGTACTAACTTTCTTTTCTTTGTAGTGCTTGCCTTGTTTTTCTTTGTTTTTTTCTCTCTTTTGTAGCTTGGAAGAAATTGAAAGCGACATGTGGAGGCACGGTAAATTGCTTGGTTGCTTTATTCTTTCTTCAAGAGACATGGGTGA